ATATCGCTGGACTCCCATGGAGTCGACCGTGGTTTGAGTCCCGGACCCGGTGGTTTAAACTCACACTGGGCTTGTGTGCATATGTGCCCAAGATCCCGAGAGGAGAATGGAGGAGAAGGGATTGCAGTGTGGCCATCCCTCCTGGGGGTTGATTTCTCACTTTCTGTCTCTATGTCTCTTTCTTTCTTTCTGGTCAGGGGCTATGGCAAAAACCTCTCCAAAAAAAGAAAACAAAAAAGAATTATGCTAACATGAGCAGTGCTCAACATAGCAACTTGGGAGTAGCAAGCAGTGGTAGTTGTGGGCCCTCAGCCACCTCCCCACAATCTCCATTAGCTTTCAGAACACCCTAAATAAATAAACATAAAATCCAAGTTAAACAGTGTATTTTTTTCTGCAAATGCAACTTCTAGACAAGCTTCTCAGTCTCTCCTGATCAGAGTTCCATTTCAAGCCATTACTATTGAGATTTGGAGAATAAAACCAAAGTGTTCAGAAAGTACATGCTGAAATGAAACAAAATACTTTTTCCCCCCATTTACAGTCTTCACCCATTAATTAAATTAATTAATCAAAGGGCCAGCAGGTGGCGTGGTGGTTAAGGTACTAGACTCTCCCACATGGCCAACCATGGTTTGAATCCCGGACCTGGTGGCTTGATTCTTCACTTTTTCTCTCTCTTGCTGTGTCTCTCTCTCTCTCTGATCAAATTAAAATAAATGAATGAGTTAAAAAAATCTTTAAAAAATTAATTAATCAAAAATAAAAATAGAGGAGCTAGCAGGTGGTAAGGAGGTGAGGTGCTAGACTCGCACATGGTAGTTTGAGTCCTGGACCTGGCCACTGGAAAATCATGCCTTGTATGTGTGCATGTGTGCCCAAAATCCCAGGAGGAGAATGGAGAAGAAGGAATTGTAGCATGAACATTGCCCCAGGGTATAATTTTTTACTTTCTCTCTCACTGTTTGTCTCTGTCTCTCTCTGGCAAGTGCATACACTGCATTACAAAAACCTTTAAAAAAAAGTTAAAAAAAATAAAAATAGAAATTAGTTAATTAAATCAAATGATTACTATATAGTCACTCTTCTTGAGAAGAAAGTCACCAAATAGTTTCAGCAAGTAGCTTGTCTCCAGAAAATTAAGAATAATAGACCATTGCTTTTTTTCTTTGTTATTGCTTTGTTAATTTTTTAAGAATTGTGTTTATTAAAATAACTAACCTTTGAGATTTCTTCGGCCTTAATTTTTGAAAAACAACTGAAACAGAACAAGGGATGGCAGGTAAAGTGTGAAGGATGAAAATAATTTACAAGAGCAAGCCTTGTAGTTTTCAGAATTATTCAGCACATAATATGCTTATTAATACCAATTGATGTTTTATTTTATAGTTTTTTTTTGTGAGAGATTTTTGCTGTAGGGCATGTGTACTCTCTCTCATTAGAGAAAGAGACAGAAAGTGAGAAATCACCCCTCAGGCAGGATAGCCACTCCACAATCCCTTCTCCTCCATTCTCCTTTCAGGATTTTGGGCATGCATGGACATACATCTGACGTAAATTTGAAGCTGCTGGGTCTAGGATTCGAACCATGGTCAACTACATGAGAGTCCAGCAACATAGCCACTACTCTATCTGCTAGTCTCTATTGTGTGATTTTAATTACAAAGATCTCTATCTCCCAACCTCAAGTGGCAGAAATATTTCATACATTTTGGGGTATTTTCGTTGCTTTACTTCTTGTTCAATAAATGGAAAAGAAATATTGTTCCAAACCCTTGTGTCGAATTTCTTTGTACCAAATAATTTTATGCTCTAATAAATATAGTATAGTCAACATACTTTAATTTTTTTTTTTTTAGGAACACTGAAGTGGCTCAGAATGATCTTTCTGAAGATTGAGTTCATGTTATATTATTTATCCTGTAAAACACATAGAAAACTGAACTGAATAGCTAATGACCCTGAGACTTAACCAGGGCTTTTTTTCTGACTCAATCTCTAATTTTCTTGCCTTTGTAATTGAAGGTTATTTGTTGAGATCCATACTATCTTTGGTTCATTTGCTTGGATGGGTGTTCTTGAACACCTTGAAGGAGATGCTAGACCATTTGTCATGGAAGACTGATTTAGATAACTCATGTGAAGTATTTTTCCACTGGAATATAACCTTGCTAGGATACACCATTTGGATATTTCAGGGGATATGTGTTTAAGAAGAGCCAATAAACCTGGTTAATTGGTGGACACTTTGTGTGCCCAATAGATTCTCATCAAAGAAGGACCGGTTGTCCAGTAACTGGACCTGTTGCCAGCAGTTGTCAGCTGTCAACCCTTTTAGCAAGTTGTCTCAGTTGCAAACAGCTGCCTTGAGTAGAATCCCATCCCTACCCAGGGAAGACCATATTCAATAGCCAATGGATGTGATAGTATAAAGGAATGGCCACCATAACTCAAAGGGGGACAACTATGAAGAACAATTCTAGCCCTAGAGTGAGCAGAGGCCAACTATTCAATATACATGTCTAAAGGAAACAAACAAACTAGTAGAACTATTATTAAATGTGTACATCATAATGTAATATTTGATGTTGGAGATAATGAGTATATCTAAAGCTGTAATTTGATAATGACACACTGTATACATTCTATGAAAAATCATTCTGTACCCTGCAAAATAAAAATAAGTTTATTGAGGTCAGTCGATGATCTGTTGGTTAAGGAGTTGTACTCTCACATGGGTGAGTATGGTTCAAGTCCTGGAATTGGTGACATACTTTCTCACTCTCTCTCACCCTCTCTCTGTTTCTTTCTGGTGAGCACACATGTCCTATAGCAAGTTTAAAAAATAATCATATATAAAATAAATAATTAAAAAATAATTAATTAAAAAATTCTCTCTCTGTTTTATAAATAAATAATTAAACAAAAAGAAAAGGAATAAGGAAGAATCATGAAAACTATACATTAATAATTTGGAAGTAATCTTTGTTGTAAATTACTTGTTAATTCTTGGGACCAGCAGTTAGCATAATGGCTATGTCACTTGACTCCCACGTAGTTGACCATGGTTCGAGTCCTGGACCCTGTGGCTTAAACTTATGCCGGGTGCATGTGTGTGCGTGCCCATGATCCCGAGAGGAGAATGGAGGAGAAGGGATTGTGGTGTGGCCATCCCCCCTGGGGGGTGATTTCTTGCTTTCTGTCTCTCTGTCTCTCTCTGTCTCTCTCTGTCTGTCTGGTGAGTGCATGTACCCTATAGCAAAAACCTCTCCAAAAAAAGAAAAAAAAATTACTTGTTAATTCTTT